CGAATTAATGTGTGCTTGTGTGTGTGAGTCTGTATGGGTTTAATCTTCGTGCGTGTAGATTGTCTGGGATAGGGGGTGGGTGATAGGACTACCGCGAACCTCTCCTACGTGGTGTCACTGTTGTTCACCCAGTAAGTCGCGCCAAATAGCTGACAATTCCAAGCCATCGGATCGATTGACCGCACGCAGATTAAACCCATACAGACTCACACACACAAGCACACATTAATTCTCTATGCTTATTCGCACCTTGGGATCTTCACGTGTTGACCTCTGGTGAACCGTGAACCCTTACATCCTACTGGTAGCCTGTCTACACACCCCATGTGAAACACAAACATGTCCTAGTTGATGATTGCCTAATTTGAAGCTTGATTTAAATCACTTGATAGAGGCTCTCCAAGAGGGTCGAAACGTTGCGAAACCGATAACTCTTTTGGTTTTTAACTCGTTGTGGCTTAACCAAGGAATTACTTAATAATGAACATCAGCACAACGCACAATATTTTTCCCCATATCCGTTCCGTTTATGGTTCGGAAGTGCTACCCAAACTTGTTTATAAATTAATGGAACGCAAAGAAACAAATTACTGACCGAAAATCCATACACTCTATCATCCTGACAAAAGAAAGATACCTGTGTCAGTGAACACTGCACGTGTGTGGCAAACTCAGCTTTTGGTGTATAGTCTAATAAGCGAGACCATATAATCACTACATAGGAGGTTCAGTGTGAAGAAGTCTGTACACTCGAACTCCTTTTAGGTGATAAAGGGTTTATAAATCGTCAAATTTGGCGTTTAACAGATCACACAAACCATGAGCCAGAACTGCCACACTCACCACTAAACTCATCAGTCAAAGGCTTAAAGAATAAAAACGGCTAGCGGACAATTACAATTGGGTACTAACTTTAAATAACGTGTTGATTACTGAGTTGACATTTTATTAGTTAGAAGATATACAATATGAAATTCGATCTGTAAAGTCGGGCAAACCAATGGGTGAAATTGATCTCTGAACATCGCAAAAATAAAGCTGAATTACTTACTAATGAGTAGTTTGGCAGATTGATGATTTTTACATGAGACCCAACTGTGAAAAGTCAGGGCTTCGGCTGGATTCAAACCAGCGGCAGAAACACCATACCTTTACGCGGCAAGCGCTCTACCAGCTGAGCTACGACGCCACGCCAGGAGCTCGAAAATTTCACATTTGGACTCAGTTACCCACCCGTCTCACTGTCTCATATAGAATTACTTAGTTGATTGCGAAGCATAGATCTTTTTTAATTAGCTGAAAAACGATGTGTGAACATTAAGCAGTAACACTGGCGACAGATTCTGTACTCAGAACGGAGATCTCTACCTGCGAGTTCTCGTTTAATAGCGTTTTACTTATAACGTAATACAAACAACGTTTTAGGATTAAACCACTCTGTGCACTTTTTATCATAGTGGTCACATGATATCAAAACACATGCAGACAACTGGGCGGAAATAACATCGTAATGATCCTCAGACACACGTGAACCAAGATATTGTCAAGAAAGATGTAATTTGACGTTAGAAATTTTAAGGTCACCGAGGACGTTGGTAACCAGTAATTATAAAACCATATTTGATCACAAATTTCCGACTGGCACAACTGTTTCAACTAGCACATTTGTACCAGCGATATGTGTTTGGAAAATAGCTCAGTTTAGAACTCACTACAAATGCATACAAATTAAACAATGGTGCTTTAAGTTCAGTTTATCCTATTCTGAGTAGAGATTGTAGTAGAGCTTGAATTACCTGTTAAAAACATTTCAAAGTGTTATTTCAGCAGTGTCTTCTAGGATCACAATGCAAAAAAAATGCTTCCTGTTGTTAACAGACGAAGTTTCAGATAATCGACTGCAGCAAATCAAAGTGTAGATCAGATACAAACAACTGAATGCCTGGAGAAATTCGGTGCATTTATTCGGGTACCAGCATAGTCGTGATGTTTGTGAAACACCACTTTCAAAATGCTGAGTGCAGGTCCACTTACTCATGAGTGATGAAGAGGCAGCTGAAAGTCAGAATGACAGAGCATTTGCCCACGTGGGTTTGCATCCGTGTCAGCCAACCTGTTGAAAACTGTGCGGTGGAGGCCAGAAGTCATTCATGCGAGACACCAGTTTCATCTATTAAGCATCACGTGTTCAAGATAAATCATGACACTGGCAGTCCGTCGGTAGTCCCAGTAATCCACACGAACCTGAGTAAACGCCTTCTCAACTTTGCCCAGGAGGCTGCTATTAAATGATTGAAGCTGCCGTTGTGTGTGTAAAAGCAACTACCTTGGTAGTGCTCATGGATTTTTCCATATCTGGATAGGGCATCATCCGTAATTTACGATTTTATGTGTAGATTGATTATGTACAGACTGATGTATAGATTGAGGCATAAATAGATTATTTACAGATTTTTTGTATATTTTGTAATTTTTATTTCTGCAGTGCGTACTTGATGAGATGCGGCGAAATGATTTCGAATGTGCAATATACCGCTACTAGCTTGTCTTTTCAGGTTCGTTTCGGGGAACGTTCGTCTCAAATGCAGTTAGGCTTGATATATGGATGTAATAGCACTTTCAGCGAAGAGACTGGTATTAAGTTGGCTATAGTAAACATCCTGATGGGGACAGTGTAGATTATCCGATAGATTCCTGATTGAAGTCGCCGACTGATTTGTTTTATTAAATCGTCATCGTAGTAGTCGAGCTGTAAGGTGGCGCTGCCTTTAGCAAGGATTATTTCTCTTCATGCATCATAAATTGTCTTGCTGAGTCACTCATGTGCAACCCCAAGTGTAGGCATCGTACTTCATTGTACAAGTTACTTGAAGATCGTAGTCTTACAGTGTGACGGAATAAGGTGAGAAATAAAGCTTGCTTGTATCGAACTAACATATAGACAAACTGCACAGTCGAAGGCACAACTTACATAATGATTATATGGATTGGTCTGTAGTTACCAGCTTAACTGTGGATGCTAGACCGCAGATCGGGGAGGTAACTTCACAACGGAACTAAAGAGCATGTTCCGGCTTCGGGTGAACGTGAAATGAAGCAGGACACGCCAACTAGTGTTGCACAACCAGTGTACTCCAAACAGCGTAGGTTTCTTGGTGATTTCCGGACATGTAGTCTTCACGACTAGTGCTTCCGAACTAATGTATCTGACCAAAGATTATTAACTGTCTGAGGCAGTTGTTATTCTCTGCTGACAACCTCCATGTCATCAGAAGAAGACCATAGTCTTCGGTCTGAAATTGTGATGATGAATGAACTATTTCGTTGATTGTGTTTGCTTGTATGGACTTGCATTGCTTCATGCAACCTTGTTCGACCATACTACACACACACATCAACATTGTAGTGTGTACCTAAAGAGACGCATCAGAGTTAGCCAGGTAATAAATAGTGCTGGCTGTTGATCTTACGTCTGTCCCTGTCCTCAGTTAGGAAATTGACCGTATACGGCGACAAACGTAAGACCATTCTGCGGGAAGCAGCAGAATTACGGCAGACCATCTACAGGTAAGCACCATGTTGGACAAGCTAAAGTTTGCTTGAATATCGTTCGATGTAGTGTCTTTTTTAATACTTGTGATTTGAAGCCACACCAGGAGCGTATAAATTCCATATTTGCAGTCACTTAACCACGCAACCCATGGTGTGTCGTGTGGAATCCACCAAATGATACAGCTGGGCCATTGCCAAACCACTTACTAGTGATACAAGTTTGATACTCAAAGTAGACGTTGGTGGATTCAAGCGTGATATGTTCAAAAATCGCGCCGCGGCAATCAGGCCACTAGATCGTTTGGTGAATTTCATATGAGCCAGCAGGTTGAACAATCAACTAAGTCAAACTGTGGAATTTCTGAGTACTCGGCGCAGTTTCGTACCTCAACTGGTGGAGCGCCTGCCGTATCTGGACGTGCTCCTTCCTTCGATGGTTTGAATCAAAACAAAGAAGTTTTTAGCTACTGGGTTTCTTCTGAATTACCCAATCTGCCACATTGCTTGTCAGTGTTTTCTCAAACCACATTATATATTGTTTTATATTATCACAAGTGGAGCAGTTTTTATCTAAACTGATAACACTTGACATAAAAATCTGGAGGTTATCTTCTATTAATACTGAAGTGCACAATACCAAAAGTATCTACATCCGTTTTCTTACTCAATCCACTTTTCATGACATCCTCCCTCCTATGGCACTCGAAAGACGGATCCCTTTGGTATCTTTGCACAGGTTTTTCTGGCACAGGCTTCAGCCGGTCGTTGCTGGTGAAGAAGTAAACAAACTGAGTCTCCTTCTGAGAAGGACTTCCGCAAGGTCCATATCACCGGAAGTGAACCTCAAAAACCACTGTCGACTTGTTCTATTTACAAGATAACAAATTTCCAAAACCGTTCGTCGGTAAACAGATTATCACACTTGTGATACAGCCAAACAAGGTAGACAGAAATGCGTGAATCGCTTCCGTTGGAATACCCAGTCAGATGGGTAAGTCTAGAGAAGTCATCTAAGTTCCAACCGACTATGAAATAGGTACATTCTTTTACCTTCATGATCCTTTACAATGTCATCTGATGGAAGCGAATGACTCAATCGAACCGCAAGGTCGTACCAACTGTTTTTATAGGGCAAACTGTAAACAGTACTCAGCTGAATACATTAGCCGGGCGTCTAAATAAGTGAATGATAGAGTCGCGAAGTACAAAAGCCATACATATTTTCACTCAAGTAACGCATTACAGTAAAAAGTAGAAATATGCTTCGACTACAACTTTACGCGTGTTAACTGAAGATCGTGAAATCGAGTTGGGCAACGTCTGGACCCCACAGTAAGTTTTCACTTGTTACACCGAGAGGATGCACAGAGAAGTCCTCGCAATCGACACACACCGTACCTTCGTCAGCTGAAGTGATGATTTAGAAGCGATCCATTTGAGAAAAATCTAGACTTCGGTTGGATTCAAACCAGCGACAGAAGTGCTTTGCCCAAACGCGGTGAGCGCTCTACCAGGTGAGCTACGAAGCCATGTCGGAAGCTCAGAAATTTCACATTTGGACCTAGTTACCCGTCTAATCAACTGTCATATAGAATCCACTAAATGATTCAGCCGATTGACTGTCCAAGCAGGATTTCTCGGTCAGTTCACGATGGAACCCACCAACACCGGCGATGAGCATTGACATTGAACTGCTGATAAGTAGTAAGTGATGATGCTAACCTCTCGTTTGTTTAGACAGCCTGTACGACACATACCCGAATAAACATCATAGTGCGATGCGGAATGAACCCGGTGAAAGCTGCAAGGGTCATATCAAGCAAACTGTTCTTGACAATGCCTTGGGTGACCTCATACCCGCACGCACACACGCACACACAGAGGACAGCGTCTGAACTCGATGATGAGGGGATAAACAGTTAACCAAAGCCACATGAGAGAATTGGTAATTTACTCGCCTATACAATCCGTGTAAGGATTTTAATTAACAGTTGCCTCGACAAGGGTTACACGTGGCAGCCGAATAAATTGTCGATTTTCCCAACGCAGCTAAGTTACTGACCTTAAGACTGATCTAACTATTCGTCCGTTTACACATGCTTTCTCTTGGTATGTTTAATTGTTAAACGCAGACATTTTCATGGAGGAATCTTAGTCAATTTCTCTACCCACTCATAGTTCCGCCGAATGTATTGGACGCACACAGTTTTTAAACTTGTTGTGGTGAGGTTGGAGACAAGTAATGGATCTTCTTGCTCGCTAGTAAAGTATGTACAGTCGGCCGCAAACACGACCTACTTGTCCTCCTCATTTGAACTGTGTTCATGAAAGTCTTCCACCAACTTGTTTGCAGACAACCCGGTAATGCTATGTACAATGAATGAGAAAACAGGGGAGGTTATTTTAACTTGACGTGATGGTTGTATATGAGTCGGCATCATCACTTTATCAAAACTTGTCTGCGCAACAGCACTGACAGAAGCAGAAGCGCACGATCCGACGGATAAGCATGTACAGATAATAACACATTGTCTACTCGTTCTTGAACAAATTGGCTTAGCGATTGTTTGGCCAAGTTTGTTTTAAGGTACTCTCATTCGAGTATAGTTTTTATCCCCTGATACTTTTTCAAACACTGGACCACAGTTAGCTATCTGATCTCCTGTGTATCTTCACATACAGCCACGTAAAGGTCACCGTCCCTTAATAAAATAGACGGGGTAACAAGTTTGTGAAGTTCAAATGGGTGGTCGCTGAAACCGCCTCAAAATTCCCTTAACTTAGTATACTCAGTCTTCTAAAGGTAATTTGGGTCAACCCGCACAATACCGGAACGAAAGTTCACGACTGCACTCTCTGAGAGTTGTGTTAACTTCATTGTAGACAGCTGACTAGTTGCATTCCGATTAAGGAATCGCCCATGATGATGAAGTCATGCTGGTCTCGATTCGTCTATCTAATCGGTTCACTTCCCCTTTGCATGACAGTTTACAATGAGCCAATCTCAGTGTTAACTTCCCTTCACCTGCTGCTGAACCAGAACGGAAATACTTATGTCACGCTATGTTGATTGAACTTCTTCGCATTATTCAGTAATATATAGGAAAGTTATAGAGTTCGTCCAGATTGCAGACTGAGTCAAAAAACAACCATGCCACTGAGCCCGAAAGACACCTGCCTTCTATTCCAGCGGTCAGTTCCAATGGATAGCATATTTGAGGAGGCTGAAACTGTTTCATATCTTAAACTGTAGTGCCAGTGAACCTGGAATTTTTGCTTATTGATGAACCTCCTGCATAGTTCATGTCAAAAAGCAAACCACAAACGCGTACACTCATCTGCATGTCAGACGTGCATTCACATACATCGGGTGATATTACTTTGTCATTCCCCTTGACGAAACTTCTGCCATAGTTCGTATACACTATTCCAATGGTCCATTCTTGTCCATCGTCTTCCTGGCGTTCGGAGCCCGCTCTTTTGTTCCTGAATGCTGCCTGTGAGTGATATCCTACTCGTGAGTAGTATACTACTCACAACGAAACTGTCTGTAATACAACATTACTACTGACGAGCATTGACAAGAGCGATACTCCAATCTAGTTCTATTTAAAACGGATTATCTGTCAACTGCATAGGTATATGATTAATGCGCTCAATTTTGAATGTTGTTCCATTTATAGGAAACTAAAATCCTTAGTCAGTCAACAGAAATAAACATCCTAGATTTATATATATATCCGATGTGTTGTTGAATAGAACAATAGATTTCTGTCAAAGTATTGCAACTTAATAAAACGACCCTTTTTGTTGGAGCTACAAATAACATCGATTGTGACCATTTACGCAACTTCAGGTTCATCCTTTCATGGTCGTCACCAGGAACTTTGTTTTTGGAACCGGGAACTTATGAACATCTACTGGACCACGTTCAATGATGAACCGAATTTTCTACGGAGCCTACTTCAGAGCGATTCAAGATAGGAATCTTGCACCAGAATTGTGGTATGAGCCGGAGTTTTAAGGGCTAGGAATCTGGCTCAACGGTTACTTTGTTGACGAGTTACAGGTCAGCAGTTCCTCAAAGCGCCCGTTTGTTTTGGACTCATTAGTTTTGAAAATGGCACGCAACTATCCTTTGCTTCAAACGCGGCCTTTCTATTGGATGATTCACCTATATAGTTTCAAAAGGGTGAATCTTCGTCATATTGCGCAGTCGTAGTTAACGAGTATGTGGTAACATTTTTGTTCGCAGCGTCTTGTGGAAACGATTCCTACGACTGGCCATCCAAATCATCTTATATAAGTCACTTGTATAACATTCTTTGAGATCATTTGGAAAAACGATGCTAGCTGACACACCGCTTTACTGACGGGAATAGATAAATAATTTTGAAATAAAGCTTTCCTTTGTAATTTTTCACTGGTTGTTACATATATTTTATCTTTGTTTCCTTGGAAACTTCATGCAAACTGACTGGTAGTGGTAGTATCAGAGGACCAGTTCCGGTTGCATTTGTACAAGGTTGTAGCGGCAATACTGCATTATTCCGGATCTGTTCGGGGTTCGTGTACCAAGATAATTGTTCCGATCCCAAGCAGTTGTTTTAAATTGTCATTGCCTGCAAGTGTCCTTCTGTTCACAGTTGACGTAAGAGCGTAACAAATTCTAGGGACCTGTTGATAAATACCCCATACAAGTATAATGATAAAATTCGTAGTATAAAAAAATAACATTTTCAATCAATGTGTTGACTGGTTTGTAGTCCAGTGAACTGGCTGTCGAACAACAGCACTTTACGGACATTCATAGGACTTTGTTGAACTTAGTGACCGGACAAACATTTCAAAATGTTGAGAGGTTATGTAACCGAAACTGATTAAATGGGTTCTGCGATCTGACAATCACCAACATCATCCTGCAACAGGGATGACAATCAGCGAATAAATTTAGTTTGTTAACTTTAATTTTCAAAAATAGCCGAACTGCTTTTTGCCGTTTCTAGGCAATTCAGAAAAGCAAGAATTTACTTCAGCGTTGAATTTAAACGTGTGTAGGCCGCTCTTAAGACATAATAGTCCGTGCCATGCGATGCCATGTAATATAAATTAGCTTCCGGTTATCCACCGCGGACTTTCAAACGGACATATCATATTCGTGAACGGACTGCTAATGTTTTCTCACGTAACACACGCTATCCGGTAAATTGAGAAGTAGACAACTTATGTCGAATGTAAAATGGTAAAGAGACGGCGGATTGACACAAGGAGCAATCCAAATTTCGTTAGTGGGTCGATCAACAGTTTTAACAACGCGGTTACTTCCCCACTACGAACGGCTTAAAAATTAGAGAGGTTACTTACCAGTTGTTTCATAACTAAGGACATCTAAATATAACAGAAAAACACCGAACTGCTATAATCTCAACAAAAATTCGTGTTGATTGGTAGACTTTATCTGATCTCCACTATTCTACAACGTACTGCTGGATAACCGAGGTCCGACCGGTAAACAGTCTACCGAGCATATTGGTCTAGGACACGTAATCAACGCTCTAAGAAAGGCCGACTAACTTGCCTTTGGTGTTAATCTTATCAAATGAGCTAACTGACCTGTACAGATTAGTTCTCGATACACGGACTTATTTAATTATCCATCATCTCTGAGATTGAAGAGAATGTCTGGAAAAAGTGGACACTTGAACATTTTAGTTCTCAGGCGACTGTCAAATTAACACTTTAGGTTTTCAACCGTTTTACTGTCTTAATGGTCGCTTGCGCAGATTGCATATGCATGAGGATGTTGCCAACATAACGGTTGTAAAACGGCAATGCCGGAAGTGGTTCAGAAATTTGCCTTCCCGTCATCAACGTGTAGAAAGCAGAAAATACCGGTCCCAACGGCCCCTCCGCAGAGACTCCATCCGTTCGTCAGTCAAGCTTATTTTGAAAAGTAGAACTGATGTTCTTCCTACGTAGTGGAACAGGGAGTTTCGGAAGGTATGTAGGCTTTTTACATTAAAGCTTGTACTCTTAATCACATGATATATAAATCCTATTATCCCGTGCAGTGAAACATCCGTAACCAATTCCTCAACATCTACTGAATACATAAATTTGCAAATAGACCAAATAGACCCCTTAAAACATCTTTGTCAACTTTCCATTTTACTGGTGTCAGGGCACATTCCAACCATGGGAACACACTGTGTTATGATACACTGCCAACAAATAAAATCGGTCTGAGTGGTACTACAGGTTTTGTGTCTTGGGTAAGCTAAACAGTTTTAACGCTGACAAACCAATATGTCCAAGTGAGTCGAAAGCGTCGTCATCAATTATTCTATGTAGGAATAAAAAGAATCAATACGGCGAGTTATTTAGCATCTCATACCAAGTAATTTTAAAACTTCGTCTAAGCGCTGGGACTTGTTATCAGGTTTCAGTATCAGCACATTTACAGTAAACTCTTCATTATCCATAACTACAACACAGGAACTCAACATTAGTTTTCAGGATTTCATACAAT